AATATTAATGAAACTGTTTATGCAGAATATCAGTAGTCTGTCTTTTTTGTTGCTGTTTCTTAAAATATTGCATTGTTATCCAGTAATAATAATTTAATTTGTCAATAATGGTTATTTAGAACATTGTATGTAAGATTATAACAAAGTGCATGAATAGAAAATATGGGACATAAAAAAATAAACATTTAAAGAAATCAAGTCTGTAATTAAAATTTAACAAGTTTATGTAAGAATGATTAAATTATAAAAACGAAATGGTGTATATAAAATAAGCGTTGCAATAAAGGTTCTATTAAAGGAAATGCACAAAAAGATGCATTTTTTGTAATAACAATTAAAAAAACAACAATGTGAATGCAAATCAAGCTTGATTTTCTAATAAATATTGGTTCTAATGTTCGTCAGTTTTCTCATTTTGATTTTGTAAGCTGAGCTCTGTAATCTCTGTCCCGTAGACTGTAACCACGGCGGGTCTGACGCAGGTGGACCGTGACAAGATCTATCAATGGATCAACGAGCTCTCCAGCCCTGAAACGCGTGAGAACGCCCTGCTGGAGCTCAGCAAGAAGAGGGAGTCTGTGACAGATCTGGCCCCGATGCTCTGGCACTCCTGCGGTACTATAGCGGCTCTCCTACAGGTGCGCAGAAATCACTTCATGCTCAATTTAACGCGCAATAAGCTGAGACCTGGTTAGCAAGCAATATTATATATGTACACGCATATTTTAGTGTGACACAACAAAATAAAGATTCTTGGTTAAAAAAATGTAATACTAGACTAAATTTAGGTCTATACCTTTTGGCATTTAATAATTTTTTTATTTTTATAAGTTTTAAAAATATAATTTATATATAATTACAGCTGTGTTGGCCTAAACCTAAATCTGTAGTTGTGTAAAAATGTTACGCTGCCATTAGTTATTAATGCGCGATTGATACTTTTATTATTAATAATAATATGAATATTAATGAAACTGTTTATGCAGAATATCAGTAGTCTGTCTTTTTTGTTGCTGTTTCTTAAAATATTGCATTGTTATCCAGTAATAATAATTTAATTTGTCAATAATGGTTATTTAGAACATTGTATGTAAGATTATAACAAAGTGCATGAATAGAAAATATGGGACATAAAAAAATAAACATTTAAAGAAATCAAGTCTGTAATTAAAATTTAACAAGTTTATGTAAGAATGATTAAATTATAAAAACGAAATAGTGTATATAAAATAAACGTTGCAATAAAGGTTCTATTAAAGGAAATGCACAAAAAGATGCATTTTTTGTAATAACAATTAAAAAAACAACAATGTGAATGCAAATCAAGCTTGATTTTCTAATAAATATTGGTTCTACAGTGATGATATATACATGTAACGATTAATGTGTCATTTTGCAGAAACCTGGTGAATTATGTAATGAAAATACAGTCTAATAATTTGCATTTGATGAAACAAAAAATTAATAAATGCAAATATTAATAAAACAAATTTTTTTTCATTTAAAACTGATGAATTAATGAAAGTACAGTCAAAAAGTTTGCATTTGATGATGCAAAAAAATTAAATGAATGCAAATATTAATAAAAAATATATTTTTTTATTTATAAAGTGATTTGTAACTGCGTTTGATTTAACTGATTTACCTATGAACCATTTTTACGTTTACTTTTTTTTGTGCTTTTTGTCTTGCAGGGGAAGATGGTTCTTCAGTTGTCTAAGGAGCCTTCGGCTCGCCTGCTGAAACATGTCGTGCGCTGTTATTTACGACTTTCTGACAACTCCAGGTATTTTTTCCCCCCAATATTTTCCCTGCTTTTGGAGTTCCTTGTTCATTGTTGGCCTGTAGGAGGTGCACAAATATCGCAGTTTGGCAAAGATTAGGGATCCTGTTTGTGCTCTTCATTCAGTGTGATTGATCAATCAAAATAAAGAAGATCAGACATCATATTTAAATATAAATCATATTTTGTCTCTCAGGGCGAGAGAAGCTCTGCGTCAGTGCCTGCCCGACCAGCTGAAGGACACCACGTTTGCTCAAGTGTTAAAGGACGACTCCACCACCAAACGCTGGCTCGCTCAGCTCGTCAAAAACCTACAGGAAGGGCAGGTCACAGACCCCCGCGGCATCCCCTTACCTCCTCAGTAACACACACTCTCACTCATCCCAAACCCTCCAGGACAGCCAGCACCACACCTTAAACACATCAGACTGTTTCACATACAAGGGCACTTAATATTTTTTTGCCAAGAAGCTCAGAAACGGTGCTCAGCATTCACGGTTTGTTTCGAGATATTAACAATTGACTTTAGACTCTGCTGGACTGAGGAAGAGTCAGTCTCATCCATTATTAGGCTTTTTTTCTTTTTCCTCTAAGCCTTTTTGATGGAATCGAGAGGAATTGAAAGACTGTTTTGTCTGTTTTTCTCATCACAAAAATGTGTAATTTTGAATGCTGTTAAATAAACAGTGTCATGCCATCGTAAATGTCAAGTGAAATTGCCGTCTGCTGTGCTGCCTTTCTGGTCATGAGGAGGAAGTAGGATATTTTACTCTGGAGTTAATTTCAGGCTCATTTAAAATTACAGTTAAAGACCATAGAATAGACATTATGAAATTATGTGAGTGAAATTTAGGATGTGAGAAGATATAGTTTGTTCAATATATTAATAATAAATCATAACAAAAGTTTGTTCAATATATTGTACAAATTATATTACATTTAGTGTAAAAGTGCAATTTTATTAAGTTATATCATTGTGTAATATACAAGTACACTAATATTTACAAAATTAAATTAAGTGTAAAAATATTTATAATATGCAATTATTATTTACACTACATATATAGTGTGAAAATATAACTTGTATAATTATCATTATTGTAATATTAATATATATGTAATATTACACATATTTTTATATATATACAGTGGGTACGGAAAGTATTCAGACCCCCTTAAATTTTTCACTCTTTGTTATATTGCAGCCATTTGCTAAAATCATTTAAGTTAATTCACTGTATATATATATATATACAGTATAGATGCATATAAATATATACTTGACAAAAAAAATCTGATTTAGTGTGAAAAATATACAACATTTTATTTTAATATTTTTGTATTTTATATAAATCTTTTAAGTTATTAGTATATTTGTTTATATAATATATTAATTTTTGTTCTGAGACAGCTATATAGCACTCACTGAATTAAATGTGTGGGACAACAAAGAAGCATTTAAAAATATTTAGAGTTTTAAAACATTGCTTCTTCCCTTTTTTATAAACAAATGGCATTCAGTAAAATGTATGCATATCTTGATACTTGATACTTGCAATTTCATTGGCTGCCACCTGCAGACCATTAGTAGTGCTAAAAACAATTTATAATGCCTTATTAGGCATATAGCAAGAGGCTAGCATTGGGGCTGTTTTGATTCAGGTCCATATCCACCCAGAACACCTCATACTTAGAGGTATTTAGTTTTAACTTGGCCAGGTATTCACCTCACAACACACTGAAAACCATTCAGAACACTTTAGGAGCTGTATAGCAACACCCTAGCATTGTGGCTGTTTTGATTCGGGCCAATAAGCAAACATGTAGTAACACAGTAGGACCCTAGAAACTACATAACAATTCCTTAGCTACACCCTAGCATTGTGGCTAAGGTTTTACCTAGAAATCTCTTAGCAACACTCTAGAAAACACTTCTAAAATAGCGACTGCGCAGCAAACCCTAACATCATGGCTCTTTTGACTCAGGCTAGTAAGCATACACCTTAGAAACCACATAGAAACACGCTAGTATCCATCAGAACGTCTCATAATTAGGGATTTGTAGTTTTAACTTGGGCAGGTAAGTATTTACCTAGCAGCACCCTAGCTTTCACATAGCAACATGCTAAAAACCATTCAAAACGGCAACTGTGTATCAACACAATAGCATTGTGACTCTTTTTTTCTGGGCTAGTAAGAGAACACCCTAGCAACCACATAGCAATATGCTAGTACCCACCCAGAACACATTAGCAACCACATAGCAACACTCCTTTCACTCTGCCAGTTAGCAAACACAGCAATACGCTAACAACCATTTAGAACGGCAACAGCATAGCAACTCCCTAGCATTGTGGCTCTTTTGACTTGGTCAAGTAGGCAAACACCTAGAAACCTCATAACAACACACCTAGCAACATGCTAAAATCCATTCAAAATGGCGACTTTCTTTTGACCCGGGCTAGTAAGCAAACAACCACATAGCAACGTGCCAGTATCCACCCAGAACATGCTAGCTCACTCTTTTGACAGTTAGCAAACACAGAAACGTGCAAAACCACTCAGAATGACAGCAGTGTAGCAAACGTGGCTTTTTGACTCCTTAGCAAACACATTACGACTTTAGAAAAATGCAAAAACACTCTGTTTGGCATAATGTAATATGAAAATAGCTTTGATAACGCAGCCAGTCAGAAACTAGGAACTGCATTTCTCTGAATTTGCTCAGGATTATTTATAAAAGTGTTACATTTCACATCTGCATGTTTATTCGGTCACGATTAAAGCTTTAGTTGTCAAACCGCAGGAATGCAACACTCCAATTACGCAATGTGCCGGATTGTGTTTCCACCTCAAAACTGACATACCCTCGTTTTATCTGTACAGAGGGACAGAGAGACGCAAGACAAAGCAGCCTGAGGGAAAGAGATGTTTTGACTCCCAAAGCCGGAGAGGGGATGGAAAGCGTATCTTGAGGACAAGGGGCCCTTGTGGACATCGAGTCCCGTGTGTTGCTGTGGATCTGTGGGTGTGTGGTTGTGCGTCAGAGGGAGGTGTGTTGTGGTACGTTAAGCTGTGGGGAGATGTGGACAGTCAGTCCGGCTCTTTTGCAGTTGGGGCCACATTACACCGGCTTCTCCTGAGTTATGGTCCTCTTCAAAGCTCAAATACAGATCCAACTATGAGCCCACCGAGGGTAAGTCCTCCTTCAACCCTGAGATATTAAATATTATTGTACTCAAGTACCTGACTTTGAAAGTTTATCTACAGATACAGGATATCTTTTCACACCTGTTGCTTGTTTTGTCTTTCTGCTGTTGGTTAAATTGTTGTTTTTAATAATTTATACATATTTATGTACCTTTTATAGTGTAGTTATTTATATTTTTATTATTTTATAAAAAATATACAAATGAAAACAATTAAATACATTTAAAACTAAATTATTTTGCAATTGAATTTTTTATAATATAATATAGTGAACATACTGGTATTGTTGACTGTTGTTGTAGTCTTTTGTAGCTTGATGTAGCTCATTTGTGTTGCTCAGAGTTTTAGTCATTAGTTGTAACAACAACTAACAACAAATTAATTGAAAGAATCTGGTGAATTAGGAGTTCAGGGTGTTTTTGTTAATAACTCGTTAGCAATGTTGGACATTTTGTCCGCCATGTTTAAGGCAACTGGCTTTATGTGAAACCTGAATCTTCATGGCAACTTTGGCTTTATTTTGCAATTGAATTTTTTTATAATATAATATAGTGAACATACTGGTATTGTTGACACTGTTGTTGTAGTCTTTTGTAGCTTGATGTAGCTCATTTGTGTTGCTCAGAGTTTTAGTCATTAGTTGTAACAAGAACTAACAACAAATTAATTGAAAGAATCTGGTGAATTAGGAGTTCAGGGTGTTTTTGTTAATAACTCGTTAGCAATGTTGGACATTTTGTCCGCCATGTTTAAGGCAACTGGCTTTATGTGAAACCTGAATCTTCATGGCAACTTTGGCTGGGTGTTACAACACATCTCTGCTCACATGGCTAGCTTGTGGTCATTTTTTTGGTGTTGTTTTTAGATTAGTGTTATTTTAATTTTAACATAGTATACTCAGAAATTCAGTTCATTCAATTTAATTATATTTATTAATAGTAACAGATGTGTGACTTTTTTTTGTATGATTTTGCATGGCTGTGCAGTATTTGAGGGCGAGTGTGAGATGCTTTCACAAAGAACAGATCCGTACAAACATTGAAGAGTTTGAGTCAACAGCTCTAGTGCTGATCCCTGTATTAAAGCCAGACATCCAGGGGCTTTTGACTAACAACGGCCATTTATACCATCTGAAAGTCTTATTTTAGGGTGTGCATATATATTTGTTCAAAAGCTGTAAAAAGGTTGTCGGTTGCATTAATGGGGGAACAGACTGAAATCAAGACTTAAAAATTGGTTTTAAATTTAAATTTAAATTATGGTTGGTGGCTTGTTGTATTAATAAAAATTATGTTGTTACATATAAAATCTAGCTTTTTATGTTAGGGGATGCCTCAGATATACCTTTTTAATGCATGTTTTTAACAGTTACAGGCGTAACTTTTATTGTATGATAAATGTTAAGCATATGCTATGAAATGTATGATGTCTTTAATATACTTTTCTCCACTTTTGTCAGTGTGACCCATTCATTTCTTCTCTCTCTTTATTCTTAAACAGGAGACACCTAAAAAATGACAGAACGACAGATGGCTTCTACTGAAAGGAGCCTACGTAAGTTTACATTTATGGGGGAAAAAATCCTCATTGGTGTCAGTGTATTTATTTGTTCCTTAGTAACTGATAAAGTGTTGTACATGTATCCACACTGCAAGTAAAGCAGGTGGCTTATAGAGCAATGACCATTATAGACTGTCAATATGAACACTTTTAAAGAAGTGATGTGAAGCTTATTTCATCATTGTTAGAACTGTTGGGAGGTTCTTACTGGAAAAGCTTGATAAAAAGGCTATATTATATCTTATTTTGCATTTAAAATGCTAAATATTAAATCAAATCTATTATATAACAATTCCATTAGCTCATCTGGTAGAGTTTGAGTGCTAGCAACACCAATTTACAAGGATTCATAAAATGTGTGCCAAAACCCATCTTATTTATATCTAAACATTCATTATCTGGTTATGAGAGGCAGTTTTTTTTTTTTTACGTTTTGTTTACATGATGTGCTGAGAATCCGGGCCAGGTGCATTACCTGTTGTCTGAGCCCTCCTCGCCCTCTTTGTCTCCTGTACTGTCTTGCTCCTCAGGTATCCAGGCTGATGACAACCTGAAGTCTATGTTTGTTGGCACAGTGATGAGAAAAATCAAGTCTCGCACGTGGAAAAAGCAGCGTTATTTCCGGCTACAAGAAGATTGCATGACTATCTGGTACAAGAGCAAGAAAGCAGGAAATGCACACTCCACCTGTAAGTAGCACTGACAAGATCCACAATCTGTAATTAATCTAAACATTCATTATCTGGTTATGAGAGGCAGGTTTTTTTTTTTAACGTTTTGTGTTTACATGATGTGCTGAGAATCCGGGTCAGGTGCATTACCTGTTGTCTGAGCCCTCCTCGCCCTCTTTGTCTCCTGTACTGTCTTGCTCCTCAGGTATCCAGGCTGATGACAACCTGAAGTCTATGTTTGTTGGCACAGTGATGAGAAAAATCAAGTCTCGCAC